GGTTAGCGCTAGCGTTTGGTTCTGTGTTGGCAGGCTGCTGGCGGAGGAGGAGGAGAAGGTGAAGTCTCTGCTGGTGCTGCAGGAGGACCAGGAGGAGCAGCTCCAGCAGACCCAGCGAGAGAAGCAGGAGCTCCTGCAGGAGATGGAGAGGAAGTCTCAGGCTCTGGACGAGGCCCAGCACCAGCTGGACAAAGTGCGGGCCAGCCGACGCAGAGTGGACCAGGACATTGCGGTGAGCTCAGCGCCGCGCTAGTGTCGCGTTCCTCACGTGTTCCCCCGCACTCATGAACGTGTGTCGTCCGCAGGCCGCGCAGCGCAAACTCCGGCAGGCCAACACGAGCGTCAAACACTGGAACGTGCAGATGAACCGCTTGATGCACCCCATCGGCCCTGGAGGTTTGCTATCTTCTTGTTGCGTTAAAAGTGCATAAAAACTAGTGCTGTCAAACGATTAATCGCGATTAATCGCATCCAAAATAAACGTTTTTCTTTACATAATATATGTGTGTATACTGTGTATATTTATTATGTACTGTATATATAAATACACACACATACAGTATATATTTAGCAGTACATAATAAGTATATACATTTATATTCTTATATTTTATATGATATACAAATATATTTAATATATAAACATACATTTTTTTTCTTAAATGTATACATGCATGTGTGTGTATTTATATATACAGTACATAATAAATATACACAGTATACACACATATATTATGTAAAGAAAAACGTTTATTTTGGATGCGATTAATCGCGATTAATCGTTCGACAGCACTAATAAAAACCCAATTCATTTCTACTCCGAATCAAGGCCATTGCACACCGAGTCCGAATTTTTCGCACGTTGAAAATTAAATACGACCTCACGTTTTGTCAACCACATTTACACGCTGCCTCCGAAACTTTTCTCCGTCATAAAAATTTTTTTAATCGGGTTTGATTTTCCGCCTTTTTCACAATTTTGAGAGGTGTAGCGCGGTAGAGATCCTTGCACACCGAGTTCACAGGAATTGGTGGTCTTAATTTTAATATGTGGCTCTAGTATCGCTAGCAAAGCATTATGAGTCGCTGACATCCTGAAGTAATCTCCCGCGATAATCCCGCTGCTCCTTAATAAGGACGGGAACTCTCTTCCTCTATATCTCAGGATTGGATGGACCCAATATTTCCTTTCTTTTTCTCTTTTTAAGAAGCGAGAGGACAACAAAATCGTCCTCACTGCTTGAAGAGACTCCATTTAGTGCTGTTTTGCGCATCGGACTTGGTGTGCAAGGTTTCGAATTTTTAGGATAACGAATACGAAAAAACGCATACGAAAATTTCGGAGAGAGCTTTATTGCCAAGTGTGCTTACACACACTAGGAATTCGTCTTGGTGACAGATAGGATGACAAGTAGTAGTGATGGTGGGAGAAACGAATCTTTTCGAAGCTTCGAATCAGTTGAAACAATTGCTTTGCAAAATGATTCACTGTTTCGAAGCGCTCGAAACACCACACGCTAGTGACGCCTGCTGGTCAAAAGTGTGTAAATGCAACAACAACAACAACAAAACCCATTGCAAATGTTTTATTGAAAGTATAGACAATATATTGAACTTTGCTATATTCAAATAAATCAATAACATTGTGTATAATAAATATAAGCATGGGTAGTTGGGTACTGCACATGTTTTATTGCACAGGTAACTAACTGTTCATTTAACTGCTCTTCTGTTCCATTCTTTTAAAGAAAGGAGAGCGTCTTCTAGTAATCTTCTTGCTCCCCCGGTCCGCATCCCCTCGGTCAGCGAGAGCGAATCCAGACCTCCACAGAAACCGAACAGCCTCCACTGTGAGAACATGGACTGCGGCGGCAACGAAAACAAAGAGCCGACTGACGCCGAGGCTGAATAAACCTGACGGAAATTAGCACAACTGACGTAGCACTTTGAATTGTTCAGTCTATAATGAAAATCTGCTGAAAATGTAGGCCTTCCGAGATCAGGATGAGTTTGTTTCTTCATCAGATTTGGAGAAATGTAGCATTGCATCACTGCAAGTGAATGGGTGCCGTCAGAATGAGAGCTGATAAAAACATCACAGTAATCCACAGCACTCCAGTCCATCAGTTAACATCTGGAGAAGACAAAAGCTGAAACACATCCAGCATTAAGACGCTTTTAACTCAAATACATAGAGTCCATAATCCATAATAACACTTCCTCCAGTGAAAAAGTGTTCTGGTGTGAATCAGGAGAGAAATCTGCACAGATCAAGCAGCGTTTAAACATTTCTAAACACATATGTTTATGTGAGAGACAACAGGAGATGCACTTTTTCACCCGAGGAAGCGATATTATAGATTATGGAGTTGTATTTTAGTTAAAAACGTCTTAATGATGGATTTGTTTCAGCTTTTGGTTTCTCAAGATGTTAACTGATGGAGTGCTGTGGATTATTGTGATGCTTTCATCAGCTGTTTAGACTCTCATTCTGACGGCACCCATTCACTGCAGAGCATCCATTGCTGAGACACTGATGCAGTGCTACATTTCTACAAACCTACTACAAACCTAGTATAAACTACTGCTTTAAGTACGAGAGTAATGCACACACGGCGTGTAAAGTGAGATGACGTGTGCGCTGTAATTCCGGTTTATGCGACGTGTGTAACAAACAGTAAATGTCTTTTAAGACCTAATAATCTGTCACAGTTACTCTGGCGGTTTGAACCCTTTACCTCCACTAACAGCATGCGTCTGATCTGCAGTAATGTTTAATACTCGAAAGATTTATTCCGGCACACTTGACATTGAGACAGGAGCAGTTTGTTCAGTCACACTCCTGAGATTTATGAATATAAACACAGTAAAACACAACTAAAATGGTTAAAGCCGTATTTGATATGTGAATTTCTAAGACTCTAAATGATGAACTTGATTGATGCTTTTATCAGCTGTTTAGACTCTCATTCTGACGGCACCCATTCACTTGCAGTGATTCCTTTGGTGAACAAATGATGTGCATTTTTATTTTTTAGTTAACTGTTTCTTTAAGAAAGTGACTGTGAATGAACCATCGCTGAAATCATAATTGAAATGGAAATATGTTTTCTTGTTTTTGTTGTTGCTGTGTGATTTTTGGTGAAGCCGCTGTGGTTTGACTTCCTGTTTCCTGTTTCTGAGTAGATGAACTGCCCTTTATCTCTCTCTCACTGTCACCAGAGGAAATAAATGAGGAGAAGCTCTTCAGAAAAGTTGCTTGTCATTTGCGTTGCACAAACGAGGCACATAATAACGTCTTATAACGGAGTTATAACAATCTGGATGTTAAAAGAAGATATCTAACACATCTTAAATCCCCTGATCGGAGCTCATGGTTCATACGACGAACAGCGACGTCTGCTGGCGGTGACCGGAAGTGCTGCAGTTAAATAAAAACAAATATTAAAAGCACGTTTTCAGAATGCAGCACATGTCTGGATACGCATATATACTCATATATATATATATATATATATATACACACACACACATATATATATATATATAATGCATCAAACAGATACATAAAGGACAGAACTGAGAGAACTATGGTGGCAGAGAAGTGCAAAGCAAATCACAATTCTGAAAACAAAATAACAAATTACAAACGCAAATGCAAATCTAAAAAACAAAATAAGTCAGAAAACACAACGACAATTCAGAAAACATTATAACAAGTCAGAAAACACGACAAATCAGGCAAACCGGAAAAGGTAGGTATAGTTTGAGACAGCGCCATTGGTTTGGGATTACTCACCGCTGATTGGACGAGACATCTGTCAATCAACGTATACAGAGAAGAACCAGCCGAAGAACAGCAGAGTCGTGGTAGAAAGTTAAATAAAAACAAATATTAAAAGCACGTTTTCAGAATGCAGCACATGTCTGGATACGCATATATACTCATATATATATATATATATATATACACACACACACATATATATATATATATAATGCATCAAACAGATACATAAAGGACAGAACTGAGAGAACTATGGTGGCAGAGAAGTGCAAAGCAAATCACAATTCTGAAAACAAAATAACAAATTACAAACGCAAATGCAAATCTAAAAAACAAAATAAGTCAGAAAACACAACGACAATTCAGAAAACATTATAACAAGTCAGAAAACACGACAAATCAGGCAAACCGGAAAAGGTAGGTATAGTTTGAGACAGCGCCATTGGTTTGGGATTACTCACCGCTGATTGGACGAGACATCTGTCAATCAACGTATACAGAGAAGAACCAGCCGAAGAACAGCAGAGTCGTGGTAGAAAGTTCGGAGATGGTATTAAAGTAGCTCAGTTTAAATGTATTCTATGAATTGCCCTTAGTCTGGAATAAAAAATACGGGGTGTCTATTTACATTTAGTTAAAAGTGGCTGTAAATCATCAGCTGCAGTGGCGCAGATGGATAAGCGCTAGTCGTTGGCTTTTTGACGCGATCGACCCGGGTTCGTTATAATGTTTTCTGAATTGTTGTTGCGCTTTCTGAATTGTTATTTTGTTTTTTAGACTTGCATTTGCGTTTGTAATTTATTTTGTTTTCAGAATTGTGATTTGCTTTGCACTTCTCGGCCACCGTAGAGAACCCCTACGGGAGAAAAAAACAATAAACAGCTAGTAAAGTTTCACGTACAAAATTAAATACATAAAGATAAATAAATAAAAGATAATAATAATAACACTACAGAGGGAGAGAACCTTATGCATCAGTGGTATTACCAGAACAATCATCATAATATTAATATTTAAATATATTATTATTTTATTAATATTTTAATATTTAAGTTATATGATTTCATTTTTTTTTTTTTTTAATAAATAAAAATCTGTCACTGTTATTGTTCTTAATCAACCTAAGATATTTAAGGAGTGCGCCCACTTCAATGAAGAAATGTGAAAAAGAAGGCTTATATATATATTTTTTATTATTGCAAACAATTCAGAGATGACATTAATGAAATACAACTTCGCACACGTTACACACAATGTATCAACAATACAAACCGGAAGATCTTACAGGGTTAAACGAAGGGAGCCGCTGTGACGTCACGCCGGAGCTCCGGTGTCCCGGTAAACGCGGAGCGCTGATCCGACCCGGAGGATAACGGAGGAACCCGTCGGGAACGAACGCGTAAGTTCGCCTTCCGTTCGTTTCTGCATGCGCTCACGTGAGACTCCGGTGGGGTATTTACCGACACCGTTACGCTCATGCGAAGTTTCTAAGAGAGTTTTGTATCGAGTTAAAGACACGTACAGATAGATAGGCTTGTCGGTGAACGTTGTTTTGGGACGCTCCTCTTGCAACATATCCTGGCACGCAGTGTGTGTGTTTGCAAACGGATCACTCCGGTGTACCGGGCTGTAACATCACCGGAGAGCCGTTTATAGTGTTTTCTTTTCATCTTCAGCTTCACGCAAAAACACAAACATCAGAGTCGCCAAGACCTTTGAGATGTTTGTGGTGGCACCCGTTCATCGACCCTCACACATCATCGGCGCTGTAGTGTGTGCCATGCCTTATGAAGATAAAACCATGGCTTAATTATAGTAAAAGTGTAGTAACCATGTTTTTTTGACCATTTGCATAACCACATGTTTACTACAAATACCTAAACTATGCTTAGTGTAGAAATTTGTGAGCTTGTTTTTTTTTTTTTTTTATTATAATGTAATGTATGTTTGTTTAGACACAACGTAAAAAACAGCGTGTTTGTTTAGATAAAACGCATCTGTAATGTATTTGCGTCTCTCAGGTGCTGTTATGATCGCCGCGGCTCATGAGCATCTTTGAGTTTCTGGAGATGGACGGAAGAGACTCTGCCTTTCTGGCCGTGAGGAGCAGATTACCCAGAGACCCCGGCGTGGTGGGCGGAGTCTGTATGGGGAACAAAGACTCCTCCCCTTGCAGTAGCCAGGGGGAGGGGCCAGACGACAAACACCTAGCGGACGTGCTGTGTGAGCTGGGAGTGGGGGTGGAGCTTAACCTGGAGCTAGATGTGGGGGTGGAGCCTGAGGACGGTATGGATCTGCAAGGGGAGGAGCTTAGCTGGGAGACAAATCGGCAGGAGGCGAACGAACTGGAAAAGCAGAGCAACACGAGCCGCAGCACAGCCAGTCCTGAAGCCTCCACAGGTGATTGGATGATCAGTTTCGCACGTTACATTCGTTTAGAAGACATCTGAAGTGTTTGATTGTGCATTTGTGTGTAGATCTCTCCAAAGCATCATCTCCGTCGGGGCAGCTCCTTCAGGGCCGTGTGGAGGGGGCGGGGCTTAACATGGAGTGTCGCATCTGTGGCGACAGAGCGTCAGGATTCCACTACGGCGTTCATGCCTGTGAGGGCTGCAAGGTCAGAGGTCATGCTCACATATGACTTAATAAAATCTATAAAAAAACAGTTCGTAAAAGCTCTTAAGTAAAGTCTGGCATTTAATGCAATGCGTTAAACACAGATCAATCAGTAAATCGTTCTTGCCTAAATTGGAACATTTAAATATGTGTTGCGTAAAAAAATAAAAATATGTAAAAAAAAAAAAAAAAACCTAGTAAAAAAAAATCCAAGCTCAGTTAAACTAAACGAAGTCTAATGCACTGAATTGAAACAGAATGCAGATGTCGACTTAATTCGTAAATTCATTATTGCGCAAATTGTTGCATTCGGTTAAATTGAAAAAGCAGATTTTTGTGCGGATCAAGTGAAAAATGTTGCACTCAATTTGTTGCATAAAACTTGCAAACACATTTCATTGAGTTGTAAAAAAAAAAAAAAAAATAAAAAAAAAAAAAAAAAAACCTAGTAAAAAAAAATCCAAGCTCAGTTAAACTAAACGAAGTCTAATGCACTGAATTGAAACAGAATGCAGATGTCGACTTAATTCGTAAATTCATTATTGCGCAAATTGTTGCATTCGGTTAAATTGAAAAAGCAGATTTTTGTGCGGATCAAGTGAAAAATGTTGCACTCAATTTGTTGCATAAAACTTGCAAACACATTTCATTGAAATTATGTGTAAAGTGATCAAAGGCAAATTGTCGCATCTAATGCAATTCGTTAAACACATGCAGCATCCAAAAAACCATTGTAAAATATTTCTTGTTGTTGCAAGAATTTCCCAAAAACACAAGCATTTCTGCAGGAGATCTACAGGGACATGTACTGAGTCAAACCATTCCAGGCACGCTGACCGATCACTGTGACCTTCAGAGTTGTTGTTTTTATAAAACGGACCATTTGTCGCTGATGAAATCAGTGCAAACTTAACTCTAAACCGGACCGGGTCAGATTGTGCGGGTCAAAGAGACGTCAGTGAAATGCAATATTGTGCTGTTTATACACAACAATACTCGCCTCAAATTTCCAGCGTCTTCAAATCGCAGCAGTGCATTCCTATTCGTTTAAGTTGCGACAAAAGCGCGTTGACCAATGAGACACTTGCGAAATACTGCAGCGCTACCGCGACTAAAGCTATTTCGCCGTCTGAAGTTAAATACCAAAGGTTGCTGCTATTTGTGAAATCCGTTTAGTTTTCTCCATTTTCATTTGTTTGGGTCGTT